ATATGTAAATAGCAAAATTTCAAATAAAATAAAATAAATTTATTAATAAAAATTATTTCATATTTTTGAAATATTTCGAAATTATTTTGAATATTTTTAATTATTTTAAAAATCTTTCAAATATTTTAAAATATTTTGAAATTATTTTGATATTTTCAAAACATTTTGAATTTTTCTAAATATTACTATTATTTTTTTATTTTTTTATTTTTATTATTTTTTAAAATTTTGTAAAATAGCTAAAATTCTTTCGAAATTATTTCATTTCTTTTGCATATTGCAAAATTATTTTATTTCGAAATAATTTCACATCAATCGTATTTATTTTGAAAGATTTTTGGTATGCAAAATCTTTCATAATATTTTGCATATTATTTTGCTGATAATAATATCAATTAATATTATTTAAATTTCCATTATTCTGAATACAGTCTTAAGTAATATTATTTAAATTTTTACTATTTTATTAAATAAAAAGATATATAAAAAATATGTTTTTTTTTATTACCAATTTAAAATTTTTATACTTCAACTTAGACTTTACTTTTTTTTTAACTTGTAAATATAATATTCTTCCTTTAAAATAAATTTTATATATAAGATTGTTACTATGTATATTTAATAAATTTAATCTATATATTATTACTATCTTAAACCATTTGTCTATTATTGTATAGTAAAGTGAACTACTATACTTTCATTCTATATATATTTGCAATAGTTAATTACTATATTAAATAACCTTGTAACTTAATTGTATTGTATTAAGAAGACTACAAATCTGTAATAATTTAATTTGTATTAATATACTTATTTGATTACATACTTGATATTTCTTTAAATTTTATAAATATAGTTTCTTTTGAATACATATTTAATGCTTTTTTTAAAAAAATTAATAATAAAACTTCTATTGGTAATTTTTTTAATAATCTATTATATTTTTGTATTTTATTATTTGTATTATTTTATTATTTTATTAATTATAATAATTAAATTTTAAAATTAAGAATTCAATGTTTAATAATAATTTATATAATATATTAATTTATTTATAATGTTAAGTTATTAGAATTTTTAATAATTTTTATTAAATAATTATTGTTAATATGTTTGTTAATAATCACAATATTAATCAAATTCTATACAACTAAATATTATGAAAATAGAATATAATTCTATTTAAAATTTATTTTATAACACTTATTCAACATTTATTTATATTAATAAATAAAATAATAAGAATGTAATAATCTAGTAAAGTAATCAGATTGTTAATTTCTTAAATAGTATGTTGAATATTCAAATCCTATCGATGTCAAAAATTTAGATAATTATTTATATAATATTTGTAATACAACAATTATTATCAATAATTGGATTTAGATATTTGTAATAGTAGTTATACTAGTATGATTGACAGATTATAAAACATTTGTATAATATTAAAATTATACAGAAAAATGCAAACTAATAATTAAACAATATAAATATTAAATAAGTCCTTATGACTATATAAATCTATTAAAATTGAATAATAAGAAGCCTATTTAAGAAGACTTAAATAGAGAAATAGCTAGATTTTTAATAACTTTACTATAAAGGATAACTTAAAAAAACAAATATCAAGATTGTAGTAATATTCAGATAGACAAAAATCTCCAAGTTGAAAGTCTCAGAAGTACTATCAACCAGGTTATTAAAATGAACTAAAAGAAAAAATATTGGACTGATCCAATATATCAATGGACTAGTTATAATCCTATATAATCTATCTGTACTGAGAGTTTAGTAAAAAAATAAATGAAAAGATAAAGATATACTAAAATACTGAAATTATACTATAAAGTAGATGCTTGGACCTGTGTAAACTCTACAAAAACATAATAATTAAATGATATAATTCTAATTGCAAGTGTTGATTTTATCATAACAATACTAGATCAACTATAAAAATAAGTATAGAAGATTCTGAAAGGTTTATCTTAAGGATAAAATAATCCTAAGGTTGAGACAATAATTTGAGTATCTGGATATAACCCAATGATGTTAATATAGGTTGCAGGTTCAGAGAGTTTAAAGTAAAACACCCAAGCAGAAATGTTAGGTACAGCAATTGGTAAGGAACCTTTAGGAGGATTCCTTAAATAGGAAAACGCGAACCATTGTGAGTCCGAAGCATGATTGACAGCCAATCAGAAATGCGGAAACGAACAGACAGAATGCACGTGACACTATTGATCAATGGCAGACATAAAAACAGAGTGTCCTCCGCTACGCTTCGGACAATAATACGCGTACAAAGAAGTTAACTAAAAGTTTATTATCGTTATTGTCCAGAGCGTAGCGAAGGACACTCTTTCTTACGTCAGGCTTTGATCGACACTGTCACGTGTATTCTGTCTGTTCGCTTCCGCATCCCTGATTGGCTGTACATCACGAGCTTGTTATACTGAATTAAAATTTAATAATACTGCATTTTAGAAAATTTAAAGAAATTTATCACTATAATAAAAGTGAGTTGTAATTATTCATCTTCCTACACAAAACAAAATTTCATCCTTCGGACTCATAACGGTTCCGTTTTCCTAGTATAAATTTTGGCGTATTACGTGGCTTATAACATTAACCTTTGTTAACCTTTTTTGTCTAACAACCACGTGATAAATTATAACATTCACATGCATATAATCCGGCTTTTTCAGTTTTCTCAAATTTTCCTGTTCTTAGATCAAAATGGGAAATACACAATCTAATGGAAACATTGAGTTACAAAAAGCAGATAATAGTATACAATCTTCAGAATCTTCACAATCTTCACAAAGTGAACTGACAACTCCTGTTACTTCTGTTCGGTCAATAAAAAATTCATTCCGTGATTTCGGTTCAAATTCACCGTTTGTTGGTTCACCTTTACTTTCACATGAAGAATATAAAAGATTAGAAGATATATGTTTTGGAAATAGTCAAAATGAGTTTTATCCATCAAGTTATAATGAAGGAGATATTTTTACTGGTGGAGATGGTTCGTCAAGAGCTATTTCAATTCGGCGCCCTGAACCATCTTACAAGAATTCAAATAGAGTCATACATGATTTTAGTTCAAGCGGAGGTTTAGCACCATTGACAAGAGCTAATGGACAAGGTTACAAAAAAACAAATGATTTTATTAATAATGGCGAATACATGATTTTCTTGTAAGTTTCAATTCTTGGCTGATTCCCGATTGGAATGTATAATCACTTCATTAATAGGTACAAAAAACAAAGGAGTCCCTACGATTATTACTTGGAGTCAAGGTGGTAATAATGTCTATGTGACTGGAACTTTTAATGAGTGGAAACGTAATGTCAGATTATGTAAAAGGTCAGTGTCATAGATAGAAGATTTTTAAATAAGTGGCGACCGTATATGGTTGGTATTAAAATACATATTAAATAGTTCTAAAGATTTTACTACGATTTTGAATTTACCTCCGGGAACCCATAAACTTAAATTCATTGTTGATGATGAATGGAAATGCTCAAATGAGCTTTCAACTGCTACCGATCCAGATGGAAACTTGGTAAATTATTTAGAAGTATTTGAAGAGGAAGGAGATTCTATGGATCAGAATGGAATGAACACGGATGGTAAAAAAAACATTTTTTAAATATTATATAGTAATTATGGATTGTATTCATCCTGATACATATGATTATTTTTAGATCTTATGTCAAGCACGCCTCCTGGAGAATATACAAATGAAATCCCAGGATACCTTCTTGCATATGCACATTCTCGTAATATCATTGAAAACAACCTTGATAATTCTACATCAATAAGAGTTCCCCCTGAGTCTCCAGGGAGCATGACAGAAGATCAACCACCAGCCCTACCACCACATCTGGAAAAGGTTTTACTAAATAGCTCAGCAGTTTCGAAGGAGGATAATAGTGTTTTGCCAGTGCCCAATCATGTAGTGTTGAACCATTTATATGCTTGTTCAATAAGAGACGGTGTGATGGCTGTCGCCACTACAGCAAGATATAGGAAAAAGGTATTTATTATTTTCATTGGTTATTTATACTAGAATTAAATTTCTAATGATTAATTTCTTTTACAGTATGTGACCATCGTATTTTACAAACCCATTGTTATATGATACTACAGTATTTCATAGCATCTAAATCATTACGAATAATTATCTCATAAATTCTAGTTAATTTGTAATATTTATCATGTAAATTCAGTTCAATATATTATTGTATTTCATGCATAGTGCGTTGATTTCCTTATAAATCTGAAAATAAATTAAGGAGTGTGCAAGTAGTAAGCCAAATTAATACCTTAACAAAAGTGATTCATATTTCAAATTTTCACATTTCATTAAACCCAAAAATATTTGGTTCCTTTCCTATTCAATTTCTCTGAAATTTACCGACAAACTTTGTCTGTTATAAATATTGGAATAACGAGTAGAGCCAATATCTTCACATGCTCAAGCATATCTTCTGGACTAGCCTAAGGACATGATTATATCTGAAATATATATTCCTAGGACTTAAAAAAATGTACTTTTGCCGGCCTACACAATAAAATTTAATTTATTACGTTTTTTAAAAAAGTTTAGCTCGCATTTTACTATACGTATGACATATTTGGCCCGCAATTTTACTAAGTTTTTAAACTTTTAAATTTCGGCCCGGGTTCTGCAGGCCTCTACATGTTCCCTTACCTTGCTCTTTGTGTGCTGCACTATCTTTAAAAGCTGAATTGCTTTATGCTCCAATTAGTGACAACTGACTATTTGCCAACCTACTTATACCAAGTATCTGATTAGGATACCAATAGCATGCCACCTAACAATTTTGGCTTGAAATAATGGGTTCTGATATACTAATTAATCAAAAACCATGTGAGGTGCATTATTAATGACATTTTTAAAAATTGATCGGCAAAATCGCGAAGATTTATTAACGAAAGATTAGTGTTCAAAAAATAAATATATATATATTGAGTATGTGTATGAATCAACTATTGAGTATAGTATAATTGATTTATCAGCGTACACGTTTTGCTATACTCGTGATTTTGCTATCAGTACATACGATGTACAGTCAGACCTCGATATAGTTACCCTTGATATAGTCACGAAGTATAAAAAATAAATATATTCTCGTTTTATAAAGCATAACTGTATAGGCACGCAATCATAAATAATGCAACACGTGATAATTTTATAATAAAACATAGTAACTATTGAATTTCACTCTACAGTGGCAATTATAAATAATGCAACAAAAAAAAAATTTTAGTTGGATCGTATTATCTTGCGCAATTCCGGGAGTATCTGTCTAATTTTTCTTATTTTATAGCCAAATCGAAAATAATCACGTGTGTATCACGAAACACGTGTTGCATTATTTTTGGTTGTTTTTAACAAAGATCAAACGGCGCAATCTGCATTATGCAAATAAATATGAATATGTAAACTTTTTGTTTATTTTGCATTTTGTATGATGTTAGCACTTATTGATAATCAAGAAAACAAAAAAAGAACTAAACAACATTTGCTTAACAAGTTCAAATATTGCTTTTGCTTTAGAAAGTATACATCATAAGAGTCATAGGTTGGGTTTGCAATATTAGTTATTTTACAGTTTTATATATCAAAAAAAGATGGTTAGCAAAACTGTCCTTTTGAAGATTTAGAAAAGGTTGATTATTCAATTTCATTGAATGAACCAACCTAAAAAAAAATAATAAATTTTATTATCTTTTGTTGCTGTTTTATTGCTATTGAAATGAGAACACATCTCAAAAGTAAATAAAAATATAAAAATTTCAGTAGTAATTATTTATTGCATATTTTGTAACCATGGTTTGGTGTTAAGAATTAAAAAAAAAGTTGTATCTAAATGATAATTATCAAAAACAATATTTCAAATTTGTAAAAAATATTAAAATTGAATTAATGAAGACTAGTCTAAAGTAATTTGGTCTGATAAATTATAATTTCAAATTTTTGGATTAAATAAAAATAATATTATTAAAAATATTATAAAGAATTATTAAACTATTTTTATATTAAATCTATAATAAAATTTGACAATAGATTAGTTATAATTTGAAGTTGTTTTTTTTTATATAGTGTTAATAGCTATTATAAGATTAATAATATAATAGATGATAAGTTATACCAAAAAATACTTTATGAAAATTTAATGTAGACTATTAAGAATTACAATTTTAATATTAAGAAGATCACATTTTAACAAAATAATATATCTTATTATATAGTAACTCTAATAAAATATTGGTTTAAAAGAAATAAGATCTAGTTTTTTAATTAGTCTTTTAATTCTCTAATCTTAATTTAATTGAATATTTATAATATGAAATTAATCATTGTTTTAGAGACCTTCTTAATTAAATTTTAAGTGAAAAAAACCTTTAAAAAAAATCCAAATAGTCTAGCAAGTAATTAATATTAAAATCTACACAAGATTAGTTTATTCAATATTAGAACAAATTTATGATATAATTAGAGTTTAGAGTGATTATACTAGATAGTAAAGACTAAAAACTATTATATACCAATAAAAAATTTTTTTGATATAAAAAAAATTTTTTGTTTTATAATTATATTATTATAAAAATAAACAAAAGTAATACAATATATAAAATAAAATAAATCTTGTGTTCATGAAAAATTTTGTTTATTATTTTTTAAATTTTTTATTGATAAAAATATTACTATTCATAAATAAATTAAAAAAAAAGTAAAAGGTGTAGTGACTTAGTGAAGTGGTTAGGTTGTTAAACCCAAGTGGTAGGTTAAGAGTTCAAATCTTATTAACAATAAAAAATTTAAATAATTATTTATGCAATATTTGTATTATAGTAACTGTTACTAATGATTAGATTAAAATATCTATAATGTGTAGTCACATCAGTATAACTGGCAGGTTATAAGGTATTTGTATAATTTGTTATACAAAAAAATGCAAATCAACAAATCAAATAATGCAAACACTAGATAAGTCCTTATAGTTATATAAATTTGTTAAAATTAGATAATAAGAAATCTATTTGAGAAGACTTGAGTAAAAAGATAACCAGATCTTTGATGGCTTTATTATAAAGGCTAGTTTGAAAAAACAGATCTTAGTATCTGGTCATATAACCAGACAGACAAGAACCTCTAGTTTAGGAGTCTCAGAGGTTTTACCAGTCAGACCATCAAAATAAACTGAAAAAAAGAATATTAGACTAATCTAATATACTAATAAACTGATCATAGTTCTATACAAACTATCTAAATTAGAAATTTAATAAAAAGACTAGACAAAAGGCAGAAGTATACTAAAGTACCAAGATTATGCTGTGAAGTAGATGCTAGAGTCTGTGTGAACTTTACAAGAGTACAGCAGTTTAATGATTAAGTCCTGACTACAAGTGTTAGTTTTGCTATAATGATATTTAGATTAGTTATAAAAATAGGTACAAAAAGCTCTAAAAGGTTTAGCTTGAGGATAAATTAGTTCTAAGGTTGAGCCAATAATCTGAGCATAACCTAGTAAGTTAATACAAATTACAGATTCAGAGGTTTTAAAGTAAAACACCTAAGCAGGAGTGTTAGGTACAGCAATTAGTAAAGAACCTTTAGGTGAACTCCTTAAATAGGTAATATAGAAAACTTATATATTTAGTTAATTATATTCTTTTCTGTAGTGATTCATAGAATCACATTACCAATTAGTTATTAATAAAAATTAAAAAACCAAAGAGGTTACTTTAACACTAAAAAAAAATAAAATAAATGAAATTATACAAGATAATACAATATAATTATATTTTTTTTTATTATCACAGGTCAAATAAATGAATAAAGGATAAATAATAAGTAAATAACAGAAAAAAAAACTGCCATTATTCTACCTTATATTTGCCAAATAATGGCAGCATAACAGCAGCATAATAGCAGAATAATAGTAAAATAACAGGAGGTTTATCAATATGAGTAACATAATAGTAACATAATAGCAAAATAATAAAACAGTTTTATTA